TTTACTTTCTTTTTATTTATAATTCTTTTTTCTTATATTTTTAACTTTACTTTCCTCTTTTTATATAATTTTATTTTTTAACTTATTTTCTTTCTCCTTAACCCTAACTTTCTAATTCTCTTACCCTCTTTAACCCTAACCTTATTATCCCCTTTAACCTTAACTCTTTAACCCTTTAACCCTTTAACCCTTTAACCTTTTAACCCTTTAAACCCTTTAACCCTAACTCTTTAACCCTCTTTAACCCTTTAACCCTTTAACCCTAACCCTTTAACCCTTTTTAACCCTAACCTTATTACCTTCTATCCTTAATCCTTTTAAGTATAATTTAATACTTATTTTATATACTATAATACTATAAACTTACTTATATATATTTACCTATTAAATTATACTTATTATTTTTTAATTTTATTTTCTTTTTTTTATATCTAAAATCTTATTTACTCTTTTTAATATATTTATTTATATTTTCTTCTTTTTATCCTTTATAATCTTTATTATTTTATTTACTTTAATGCTAATACTTATCCTATAAAGTACTTATTTTATCTTTTATTTATATATTTTTCTATTTTTTTATTTTATATCTTTTTTATTTATTTTTTTATTTTACTATATTTAGCTTTTTTACTAAACTTTATTAATCCTTTTTTATTTTACTTTCTTTTTTATCTTTTTTTTTTCTTTTTTAATTAAAACTTAAGCCACTTAATAATACTTAATATTATTTTTTCTTATATATTTCTTTAATTTTTACTTATACTTATTATATTTATATTATACCTTATAGTTCTTTATATCCTTTTATTTTAATTCCTTTTAATTATATAACTTTTATAATTATCTTAAATACTTACCCTATATATATATAATAACTTTTATTTAATTTTATTATTTTATCTTTCTTTCCTTAAATCTTAGCCTTACTTTATACCTTATTTTCTTTACTTTATATTTTATATTCTAACTATAACTTACTTATATAATACCTATCTTTTTAACTCTCTTTTTTTTATTATATACTTTTATTATAATTATATTTCTAAATTTAAGTCTTAATACTTATATAAGTTTTAATATTATAATCTTAAAATTAATACTTCTTGCCTCTATATACCTTTTATATAATTACTTTCTATAATATATATATATTTATCTCCTTTATGCTATAAAACTATCTCTTAATACCTAACTAGCAATAAAACTTCTCTTTATCTTTAATATTAATATTAAACTTATACCTTACTATCTTTTAAACTTACTAACTCTTTAGCCCTATTAATATAACTAGTAATAGCTTATCCTTATATATAACTACTATCTTCCTTCTGTATTTCTTTATATTAATTTAGTAGCAGCTTATATATAAAGTAATATAATAGCTTTTTAAACTAGAGCTTTTTATAAATAATATTATACCTTTTCTTTATTACCTTTTTATATTACTATCTAGCTTATTAATACTACTACTTATTTAGCACTTTTAATCCCTTTTAATAATATTATATATAATATATTAAACACTTTTTTATAACCTTATCTAGCTACTAAAAAAGTATTCTAACTTATATACCTTCTTTTATATTAAACCTATTTTAAATTATCTCTCTTATTTTACCTATATTATTATCTTTCTTACTTTCCTTATAGTTATTAGTTTTATATTTAACTTTACTGCTAGTATTACTTTTTTTATTTTTCTTTTCTTTTTTCTATTATTTCTTAATTAATTTATATTAATTATAAAGTAAAGCCTTATTTATATTATTATATATCTTACCTACTATTCTATCTATAAATACTAAAATAATAGCTTATTAATAACCTAAAGTTAATATAAATACCTTTATCTATACCTAATTAATACTATCTATAAAGCTATAATATATATCTTATTACTTTAATTATCTATTATATATAATAATTAACTTTACTACCTTACCTACTTACTATCCTCTTTAACCTATTTACTAAATAAAATCTATTAATTTATATAGCTTTTCTATATAAATTATAGCTATAATCCCCTTAATATTAATACTTATTTCTAGCCTAATTATTACTATAATTTAACAGTTTACTTAACTATTTACTTAAGCTAACTAAACTTCTATATAATCCTTTTTATTTATATTACTATAATAAAACCTATAGCTAATCTCCTTAACTATAGCCTTATATTACTTTTTTAAGTGACAGTATATTACTTCCTTCTAATAACCTATTATATCTCTATTTAGCTGCTTAATTACTTTAGCTATACGCTCTTTTAATACTCCCTTTTTAGGCTTAACTTACTAAACCTAATATTAATAATTTAGCTTAATTATATAGTCTTATACTATAATTACTAACTTTACTAATATCTTACTGTAAAACTAATCTTTTAATATAATAAATAGCATTACTATTAGTAATATAATTAAATAGCTAAAATAATATAAGCCTATTAACTTATTAAGCTTAGCTTAATAGCTAATATCTATAATAACTATATAATATTTATTAATAAAAATCTATTTTAGCAGTTCTATATATAGTAATCTATTAATATATCTAAAAAACTAATTACTAAAAATAATATTAGCACTTATAATTACTAATTATATTGCCTATAATACCTTTTCCTGCCTAATACTTATTAATATTTAGTATTATATATAATTAATACCTATTACTATTATTTATATTATTAAGTTATTTATAAGTATAATATATAATATAATTATAATACTTATATCTATAAGCTATATTACTGCTAGTAATATAAATAGTATACTTTTTCTAGCCTTTATTAGTAATATATTAATTACTATTTAATTTATCTTAAGTAATATAATTATTTATATACTTTTAGCCTGCTTTTTAAATTATTAAGTTACTTTTAGCCCTAATAGTATTCTTAACCCTTTAGTTATATTATCTTTTATCTTTTAAGCCACTTTTTAAGCAGTCTTTCTCCACTTATAGCTTTACTGCCTTATTACTTAACTATCTTACTTATACTTTAGTATATTTTTCTTACTTTTTTTATCCTTATCCTTTTTCTTTATACTACTTCCCTCTAAAAACTAATACTAAAGCTTACTAATTTCCCTAAAAGTTATAATTATCTTTAGTTAAAGCTTACCTAAAAAGCTAATATATACAGTATAGTGCTGCCTTATAATATATATTTTATATATTAACTATAAATCCTATATAATATTCTAGCTTTTTTTATAATTAACTGGCTTTTCTATAATTAAATTAACCTTAATATTATTATCTTTATCTTTATTCTCTATTTAACTATTTAGCTACCTTATAATAAGCCTTTAGATCTTCTGCCTTATTTTAATAGTAATTACCTAATACTATCTTACCTTAATCCTAACCTCTATACTAGCCTATATTATATATATAAGCTTCCTATTTAGCTAATTAGTATTTTATACTTATAAGCTGCTATCTTATTATATATACTTTAGTTAATTACTATATAGCTTAATAAGCTAACCCTCTTACCTTAATACCCTTTCTGCCAGGATTAACTATAATATATATACTATAATTATCTGCCTAATTAAATTAGGTAAAAATTATATTACCTTTTAACTATTATTATAGATTGCTTTTATTTTATTTTAATCTATAATAAGTATAATCTGCCTATTTAGTATAAATATATTATAAATTAGCTGCTATAAATTATAATACTATAATATTACTATCTTTAGCCTTTTGCCTAGAAGTCTACCTTATATATATATAAGTATATATAATATCTCTTAAAATAGCTATAAATCGCAAAGCTATATTTTAACCTTTTAACACTTTTACTAATTTTATATTATATTTTATATTAATATTCCTATTAATTATATTACCTTTACTGGCCTAGGCTCTAACTAACTATTCTTTAGGTTACTTATAAATAACTAACTTACTTTAAGCTACATTATACTATTAATAATCTGCCTTATATTAATTATTTTACTAACTTTCTATTATAATCTCTTAAATAGCCAGTTTAATATCTTTTATGCCTTTATAACTTAACCGTAAAATATATAGGTAAATTTTTTAATATTAACCTCCTTATCTATATAAAATAGCACCTCTTTATTATCTGCCTACTATATTAATAGCTGCCTTTTTATCTTTTAGTAATATCCTTTTTTATAAGCTATCTATTTAATAATTATACTTATAATAATATAACTATTAATATATATCTATATAGTATATTACTCCTTAAATAAAAGCACTGCCTATACCTTAACCTTATCTTAATCCTATAGCTAATCCTTAAATATAGCCTTTAAAAAAAAAAGCTAGGCCTACTATAATATATTAATTAGTATACCTATATATAAATATAACTCTATATAACTTAATAGATATTATTTAATATTAAGTGCTATATAAAAGTATAATAGTAAGTTTATATATAAATTTCTATTAATTTCTATTTTAATTAAAGAAATAATAAATTAAAATATAGCTTAATTAAATGTATTATATATTAAATTACTTATATTACTATAAAAACCGAGAAAGCGCTGCTGGGATCGCCGTTTTGGGCGGAAAGTGTCGCCATTTTAGGAGACACGAGCAGTGCGGGAAGTCCAGTGACAGGAGGTCGCGGGGCAGGTACTATATACCTCGAGGGCTGGCTCATGCATGGACCCCATTACACGTCCCGGAATGACATGTGCCCGTCTCAGTGTCTAGTTTCGGCACCCCCTCTTTCTTCCCCCCTTTCATCACCAACACAGGTGGTCTAAATTCAGCACCTGGGCGCGTCCGTTTTCTGTTTCCTGTTGTCACCCGTCATGAATCCATCCCTTGCCAGCCAGGATAGGCACACTCGAGCTGCCATGGCCTCTTCAGTGAGCTATATAAATCGGCAGCGCCGTCTCTGCCGTCGGCGCCCTCAGCTTCCCAATTTACATCCGCTTGAGACGTGTCGTTGATCGCCGCCATTCTCCCTTATCGAACCAATGTCCACCGCCATGACAACAGCGCGGCGATCTGCTGCAACGCGCGATCTACACCAAGGCAATGTCGCCTTCCTTGAAAGCTTTGCTGCCAAAGAGGCCCAGAGGCGAGCTGCGAAGCAGAAGCCGACGCTGACGATTGAAGAGCACGCCGCGCACCGGGCGCAATTGGCTGATGTCCTCTTTATTAAACCTAAATACGCTGACGAAACCGAAATTAACGTCACGGGCATCTTTAGAAAATGGGTGCGGTACGCAAAACTGTCTTGTCGAAGCCGTCTTTTCGCAATCGCGKTGTGTGCTGACTTCTGTTACGCCAGGTACTGCAMCGATATGAAAGTGGGCGACTGGAAAGCGACGATTCAAAACCTCAGACGCGAGACGACGCAGGACTTCGTTCTCTTTATGTGCGAACATTACAACATCAGATCATGGGGCAGCACCCATGAGTACATTCGACAGTTTCAGCAGCTCTACACAAACATCAACGGACGGTACATGGACCGGAATGACGCCAAGGA